ACCCTTTATCTCTCTCCCTTTGGAACACACTTTTATAGCATAATATTTTAGCAAATATAATCACACGTCGACAAACAAAAGGTTCCCATCGAGTACGATGGATGTGAGGGGTGCTAATACCTTCCCCTTGCATAACCGGCTTCCGAACCCGTTCTTGGTCGTGAGACCATCTTATCCATTTCTTTCCTAAGGTTTTCTCGATATTTTCCTTTCCCCTTATGGGATAAATAAAGTTCGGTGGCGACTCTTCTGTCTATCTTTTTCGCCTCCCCGTCGTTGCGCGATGCATTTTTCGAGTAGCGACAGCTGTCATCATCAAAAAGGGGGAGAATGTGAAGATATGGCTTCTCAAAGGTTTTGATGACGATGCATATTCTACAAGTCAAGGATGAATTAACAAAAAAGATTATCAAGGCTTCAAGCTCGAGAATAAAAGTTCAAGAACAAAGTGTCAAATATTTTAATCAAATCTTGATAAATTTAAGAAGATTAACTAGCACAAAGGAAAAGGTATAACACTCAACCTCTATATGATTGTGCAAGTGTTCAAACCATCCCTCATTCCTGCCATAACCATTAGGAGTGAATTTATGCATCTTAAAACTCTTTACACTTCATTCTAAGGCATTTTTCCTTTTCTAGGCTGAAGTAATCGATTAGCCTAATTGGTATAATCGATTACCCTTTTAAAATTTTCAAAATTTTTACACGTTGAAAGCATGTAATCAATTACCTTAATAATGGCAATCGATTACCACTGTTCTAGAAGCCCAAAATATTGCATCTCTTCATAGAAACTTTTTTAAATTATTTCTTTTGAAGCATGGCATCCTTTGGTTTATTGCACTCATTTGAAGAGGTTTTTAGAGGCTATATAAACCTCATTATTTCATATTTTCAAACTCACCTCCTTGCAAAGTTTTAATCAATCATTCATACTCTTTCAAATTTTCAAATTTTGTCTAAGTGTTCAAATAGAATTTTCTTAGACTGAAATATTGTGCATAAACCTTCATAGTAAAGCATCCTAGTTTTATCTCATACAAAGAAAAATTGTATAATTATTGTGAGAGTTGTGTGTTACAAGGAGAAGATAAATCTTTTGATTAATAAGTGTTAAATATCCATCTTTTACATACTTACAAAAATTCAGATTTTCTTTGTTTGTCACATCTTATTTTTCAGGATTATTGAAAATAAGATTATGAAGTTGTATTCCTTGTTGTCCTAGTTTTGGAAACAAGAGGTCCATTGTGAGGGGGTTGTTCTCAATTGTAATTAGTGGGAAAATCCAAGAGGTTGTTCTTGGTAGTGATTTTTAGCGTCTATATAGAAAGGCTAGGAAGTGTCTTATCTAAGTCCTAACATTATTAAAATTCTCTTTTATGTTGAAAAGGGACTGGAGTACTTTTGGACTGTAAGGGGAACCATAATATTTCTTGTGTCTAAAATTCGAAAATTCGAAAGAGGACTGGAGTACTTTCGTACTGTAAGGGGAATCAGAATATATTCTTGTGTCTAAAATTCGAAAATTCGTAAGGGGACTGGAGTACTTTCATACATAGTAATCACTTAAGAAATTAAAACATAAAACCGTCGAAAATTCGAAAATTTTCTAAGTACCTAATTCACCCCCCTCTTAGGTGCAATCTTAACTAACAGTAATAACCTGCAGACCTGTAACAGACAATATGTCGAGACATCTTGTTAGGACATCTTGTTCAACATGTTTTTCTTCATGTTAGAACATCTTGTTCAACATGTTGCTGCCAAGTTAGTTTTACCAAAACTACTGCCAATCACACACACATAGACTTAACAGTCGTATTTCCTAGGCATGGGATTTTAAAATTTGAAGCATGGTCTGGTGCTACATCAAACAAAGTATGTCAAGAAGATACTCAAGAGATTCATAATGGATGATTCGGCTCCTGCATCTTCGCCTATCGAACCAAAGTTGAAGTTGGAGAAGCATGGAAAGGAAGACAAAGTTGATACAACTTTATTCAAAATATTGTTGGATCCCTGAGATATGCATGCAACAATCGACCTGATATATGTTTCTCAATCAGATTAGTGAGCAAATATATGAGCAAATTGAGGGTGTCACGCATGAAGGTTGCAAGAAGAATCCTGAGATACTTAAAAGGATCGACAAACTATGGATTTTATTTGACGAGACTCTGAAAGCAAAGAAACTATGGTTACTTATTATTCAGATGCTGATTAGTGTGGAGATAGGGAGGATCAAAGAAGCACAACTGAATATTTCTTTCAAGTATTTGGTGCCTCAATCTCATAGTGCTTGAGAAAGCAACCTGTGGTGGCATTTTCATCGTGTGATGCTGAATATATAGCATGATCCTATGTTGCGTGTCAAGCAATTTGGATTAGATTTGTGCTTGAAGAAATGGAGGTTGAAATAAAGAAACCTCTGGTACTGCAGATCGACAATAAGTCAGTCATAACTCTGGTGAAGAATCCAGTTTTGCATGGAAGGTAAGCACATCAAATATAGATTTCACTTCTTAAGGGAGAAGGTGAATCGAGGTGAACTTGAAGTAAGGCATTGCTCAAGTGAAGCACAATTGGTCGACATTTTCACTGAAGGATTGAAGATCGATGGGTTTCTAACTTTGAGAAAGAAATTGGAAATAGTTCAGATCGACCATGATTGATATATTTCGACAACTTAGATTATAGGGGATATGTTGAGATATTAGATATAATCCAAGTTGAATTATGTGATCCAAGCCCAAAGGTAATTAAGGTTTATGGTTTGTTACTTAGTTTGTTATATTTATTTGTTAGTAGTCAAGTCACTTTGGTCTATATAAATTAGACACTTTATAATTCAGTTGTAATCATCCATTCAATAATATCAATCCTTATTTTCTTATTCTCTCTCTTTCTGTCCTCACTTAAAGCGCCTCATGCACTAACAGTTTGGTGGTGCGACTAGCTCGTTAAAGCTCCACACCACCTACTCACCTCGTCGGAATCTTCGTGATTTTTGGATGGTTTTTGTTGGAATTAACCCAAGACTTTAAGTAATTCTGAACCAATCTTGATGATCAAGATTCAATCAATCGATCAAATTCCCTTGTTCTTCACTCTTCACTTGAGTGAATCAATCACACCTTGATTGCAAGAATAATTTTGTGCAATAATTGTTAATGGAAGAAGAAAGAAAATTGAATAAGAAAGAAGATTAGGGTTTGAGGAAAATTGGGGAAGAATATGATTTCTGCAGAGTTTCTCTCTGCCCACAAACTGTAGAAAAAAATCTAATTAATTTTGCAACTGCAAGTGATTACAAGATTCTTCTTCTTCTTACACAAAATATGGGTTACTCTCTCTATTTATAATTGAGCTATCTTGCTCCCTAAGCTAAAGCTCAAAAACACAAAAGTCCAAAATTTCTATTTTGATCTAAGTCAAAATTTTGTGTCAAACAATTTGTTTTAACACTTTGACACCTAATGCTACTCGACACACACTACAAATTTCGACACATCCTTGTTTTTGTCGAGCACTACTTGCTTCAACACAAAGAATTACAATCTCAACAGTTTTGTCACCGACACCGTTGGCGTTTGGTTGTTAAATTGTTTCGTTTCAGTGTTCCTTCTCTCACAGTGTTGGATCTAATTTTTAATGCTCTTTGAGTTGAAAAAAATTTCAGATTTGACCTGTGTTTTTAGGTTAGCCGTTATGAAACTTTCTGTTTGAAACTGATTCTACAACTTAATTGTTGATTTGGTGTTGTTTTGCTGATGAAGTTTCTTCTGTATCCTCCGATTCAATGCTTCGGTTTGAATGACCAGAATTGTCGTGATTGCTTGCAATATTCATCAATAAGTTATTGGTTAAGGAATTTGTTACTGTGTTGGCGATCGAGTTCATTCACCATTCATTAAATATGAACAATTTATAAATCAATTTTTTTTTACAATTTAGTTTTAGATCTATACGCAGATTCGTTGGATTGTGCTGATCGTGTGTTTTTGAATTTAAATTTGCTATATAATTTGCATTGTAGTATTACTTAGGTTTTTTTTTTTATTTCAGTGGATTTTGGCTTTATGTCCTCTTAGTTTTATATACAAATTTTTTTATTTTATCTATACAATGGTTAATTAAAAAAAAACTACTTAAAAATATAATACCAAAAATAATATTAATGGTTAGTTTAAATTATAAAATGATATATTAATTTATATAATTATTTTTCCCCAAATAATAAAATTTCAAAAAATGTTTTATTTTAAAAAGATTTAAATTTTAAAAATTTCGTTAGCCAGGCTTTAATTATAATTGTTTCATAACTTTAAAGTTACTATTGATCCAAACTGAATTTTATAATTTTTTCTTTTGATAAAAAAAAAAAGTAAAGTGTATAATTTGTTCATTCAAATAAACTGAATACTAGTTTTTTATTATTTATTAAAACAAATAAAATAAAGGGTCACGCTTTTGTTTATTGGAAATTGTATTCATCTCTCATGTGGTCATTCAAAATGACACACATCAGAGTGATTATTACTTTCAAGTTATCACAAGAAAAGAAGCCTAGAAAGTAATCATTACAAGAAAAATAAACATTGTTATGTTAAAACCATACACTACTACTAATTGCATGCTCATATTCACACTAATTTAATAGGATTATTTTTTCAATTAAAATGATTAATTTATAAATATTAATACTTTTATAGAGGATTCTATAATATTACAAGAAAATTAAAGTGTTTTTATAGAGAGTTCTATAATATTTATTTACAGAAGAAAACCTGATGTTCCAAAAAGATATAGTAAAATAATACAGGTTGATCTGATCTATTGAGTTAGGTTATTTTTTTATCTTATATAAGGAATGATGAGAATGAAAAATGGTCCTTCTAACTTAACCTAACCATCAAACCTATTTTGTTTCTCACAAAACCAGACACAGTTATTATTATTACTAGTCTCTCTGTGAGAGAGAAAGAAGAAGAGACATGAAAGGAGGGATTCATGAGAATCTACCTGCATGGTTAGAGAGATTAATGGGTGAAACATTCTTTGGTGGTTGTGGGGTCCATCAAGATAGAAAGAAGAACGAGAAGAACGTCCTTTGCTTACACTGTTGTCTCTCTGTATGTCCTCACTGTCTCCCTTCCCACCGCCATCACCCTCTCCTCCAGGTTAGTTTTTCTTTCTCCACAAATTTTCAATGTTAATTAAGTTTATATTTTATTTTCTAGGGTTTTAATCTTTACTTTGATATTCAACTTGGTTGGTGAATTGAACTCACAAGTGATGAGTTTTGGTTGGTGTTTCCGAGATATGCATAGTGTTTTTCTGACCGTGTTAAAATTTTTACTTTTATGTTTGGTTTGTTTCCCATTAATGGAAGATCCATTTTTTATCTATTTTTTTTCTCCCATGCTTTCTCACCTGTTCCTTTCATTGATAGTGAAAGGTTTGACCCAATTCTGTTAACAGACAAGTAAAACAAGAAACCAAAAGCTGCTTCAACTTTTGAAACCCCTTTAGGATTAACATAACCTCTCTTTCTATTTGTTCCTTGATAAGAATTAACTTAATTAGTTCAGTGCGTTTTGATCTAATAATATGAATGTAAAACAATAATTGAGGAGGTGTGTTTGCAATTGCATTGCAGGTGAGAAGGTATGTTTATCATGACGTGGTTCGATTAAGTGATATTGAAAAGCTGATAGATTGTTCCAATATTCAAGTAAGATTAATGTGTGTTTAAGAAGCAAATTAGAATTAGAATAAAGTAGTAATGTAGATTGTGAAATGCAGGGCTATACGATTAACGGTGCAAAAGTGATATTCATAAAAGAGAGGGTTCAGTCAAGGTCATGCAAAGATACTGCCAACGTTTGCTGCTCTTGTCACAGGATTCTTCAGGAACCCTTCCATTTCTGTTCTCTCTCATGCAAGGTTTTTGTCTCTTTACTTCACCCATACAACTTTTCTAACAATCATTCATTCATACTTTTATCTCCTACTAAACATATTTTCTTATCTAAATTTATTCAAGACAGAGATTTTGTCAACATTATTTTTTAACTTTCTCTTATACTTTATACAAGTCTCTATGTTTAAAAACTTTCTTACATAACATTATTTTTTCACAAGATTATAACTTATTTTGTTTATTTTATAGTTTTTAACACTCGTTGAGACCATTTAGTAAACTCCAATACTAGAAATTTTGAATAAAAAATTATAAAATTAGTTAAATTTTAACTTTAACTTTAAAGTAATTTTGACATTAAAAAAAATTAATTGTTATACACAGTCAATGTAAAAAAGTTTTACACTGTCAATATATCACAATCATCCATCTGTATTATTTTTTAAGTGGTTAAAATAAAAGTCAAATATTTCAAATAAATTAACGGTTGTGATTAACTAACAGTATAAAATATCTTTACACATTCGATACATATCAATTAAATTCTAAAAAAAATTAGGCCAAACATGCTTAAATCATAAGAAAAACTCAGAAAGTTTATATCGGTATGCATATTAATATTCTTTATAAGTGTAAATTCAAAATAAAATAAAATACTTTATAATCACCCTCTCCCTATTATAATAGGTGTCTTATAACATGTATTTTATAAGATTTTCATATTATTTAAAATATCGATTAATTGTGTTGATTCTAATAGTAAAACAAGTGTTATTTATTAAAATAACTTTATTAATAATAAATAATAGAGTAGTTATTCAAATTAAAATATAATAAATAAGAGTACGTTAGTTAAAAGAAATTATAAAAGTATAAATAATTTAAGACAAATAAAAAAAAAAGACATTTATTGTGATATAGATGATTGAATATTGCACATTAATCTCTATAAATAATTTAATAGTGATATAATTTAAAAATGATTAAATAATTTATTTTTAATCTCTATAAATTGATGTATTTTTTATTTTTGATCATGTATTTTTTTTAAAATAATTTTTAAATATTAATATCCTTTTAGTTTTAGTTTTTAAAGTTAAAATCCATAAAAAAATAATCAGGAGAAAACCTTCAAATCTTACAAATTTTAACTATAATCATTAAAATCATATGAAATTTATGAAAAAAAAATAAAAAACACAGTAAATTATACCAAAAGATTATTTAAACTTTTAAAAAAACTATATTTCGAATTAAGATGGAGGAAGCACTTAATTACTTTGTCTATCCCAAATTAAAAATTATTATATAAAAAAGTTATTTTAAATTATAAAGTTAATTTATAATTTCAATTTGACATTAATGATATTTTTTTAATATAATTTTTATTATCTTTTATTATTTTGTTATTTGAACTCTTAAAATTTCTCTTAATATATCGACAATTTTGTAAAATTATCTTTTCTATATAAAAATTAATCATGTTTTTTTAATAGGCATTAAAATGTCCGGGTCTAAATATTGAAAACTAGCTGCTTGTCTAATTTGAATTATTCATTTTTTTAACACTAAATTCAAAAATCACGTAACTTAGCTAGGGGCTTATCCTCTCGCAAACGCATCTGACATTTTTGAGCTCTTATGTGTCTCTAGTCTGTGTCTATGTTAGTGGTGTAGCAAACTGATTTTTTTCCATTACATTTTGCGAGGGGCTTATCCCCTAGCCATTTTTGCGAGTGGCTTATCCCCTCACCAATAATTTGTGATTCCCTGATTAGCTAGGGGCCCGGTCCCCTCGCAAATAGTTGTTTTGTGATGGATTTTTTGGTTTAGTGAGGGGTTTAAGCCCTAGCTAAATTCGATTTTTCTTGTAATGGGTAAGATAGGTTTAACTCATTGTACATGTCTGTTTTTCTTACACTTTAGTGCAGAACGGACTAAGTGTTTAGACCTTCACCTCTAAGATTGATAATGAATCGAATAATTCGAAAATAGTTTGAAATTCGGTTCGACAATTAATTCGTTGAACTTGATTTATGAACCTAATGAACTGAATATGAACGAAAAACTAAATTCATTAACTAAATGAGTTGAAATTGAACTATACATAATTCGACTCGTTAGATTCATGAGTCAAGTCGATTATATATGAAAAGGATTGTATTATCTTTAAAGTAAGTTTAAAGATTTAATATAAACTTTAATCATATATTTTATTTTAATCTAATAGTATTAACCAATTTATATTTTCAATTGAGTAAAATATTTTTAAAAATAGTTATATAAATAAAATTAGCATCATATAAATTAATTAATTTTTAAATTAGTAAATTTTTAAGATAAAGTTAAATTTTAATCTAATAATTTTTATTTTATTTTAATATTTTTTTTAATAATATATTAATATAAAATATCAAATATAAAAACAAGATAGACTTTAAAAAATGTCATTTAAGTTTATGAATTTAGCGAACTGAACCTAACGAGTCGAATCGAGTTGTTTGTGAACTTATAACGAGTCGAGTTTGAACTTAAAAAAATTTGTGTCGAATTCAAATCGAGATTTGAGCTGAACCAATTCTTAATGAGTCGGGTCGAGTTGAGGCAAGTTCGACTTGACTCATTTTGGCGGGCTTTTGTAGACATAGGCATTTATATAAATTTTTGTAATTTTAGACTTAAAATGTAAAGTGCCTTCGAGCTTTCTCCACCTCACTATTACTTTTTTGTGGGATGGTCTTTAGTTTTACACTCATATTTTTAACTATTACTTTGTCTCATATTATAAGCAAATTTTGTTTTTTAAATTTATTGAATAATTAATATATCTGATCTATATATAGATCAAATACACTAATTTTATAATTAATCTAAAAAATAAAATTTGCTTATAATATAAAGACAGAGGGTGTATGTTCGTTCTGCTCCTTTTTTTATAAATTTTTATAGGATAAATTTAAACGATACGGACATACTCGTTTATTAATTTTTACTTGCGTCTTTAGGAGTTACACCATCTGTCTTATATTATAAATAAATTTTACTTTTTAAATTTATTATAAGTTAAAGTATTTGGTATATAAATCGAATATATTAATTATTTAATGAATATAAAAAATAAATTTTAGTTATAATATAGGTGAGAGTAGTAGCATTTATTTGAAGTTAATGTAGTATTCGATGGACCCAAGTTAAAAATTAAATAAAAAATGTTTTCTATATTGATTTTAAAAAAAGTTACTAATATTAATTTTTTATAGTTAGATTTTTTAACTGAATTTCTTAACTCGTATCCCTATCCCTAATTGTATCCCCATCGCACAAGCGGCACAACACACGGTCGTATTAAAACCTCAAATATGACAGCTAATTAATTAATAAATGCAGGTACAACGTTGCAGCTTTCATTAAATTTTCTGTTTTTCGGGATACGTATGTATCATTATTATTTTTCGAAACGTGAAAATTAACAAACCAAAAAAATGTAAAATAATGCAGGTTGATGACATGTTATGCAAGGGGGAAAGTTTGTCGAGCATATTATACCGATTCAATGAATCAGATTTTTCATACCATTCCCAGTTCGTCGAGGGTTTAAGGGTTGATAGCTCTGAGGTTATTGACGAAGATAATGCCCATTTTGCCCCTACTACTGAGGAAGCTACATGCTGTTCAATGAATAATAACACTATTTCATCCTGTGAAGAAGATCACAACAACAATAAACCCAATGGTAATTTCTTCCTCTCTCTTGGAAGTTGCAGGAGAAAGGGTGCACCTAAGAGGGCTCCTCTCTCCTAGACTACTACTAGTAGTGCAATGTTACTGTTTAAATAAATAAAGACAAAGTAAAAGTAAAGTTTAAATTAACTACTAATTAGTAGTATCATAAATAAATATTTGAATATTTTTAGTTTGTAATAATATGTATATGTATATGAATGATTGTGTTTAAGGGCTACGGATAGATTTTATGTGTACGGGACTTGTAATTATGATCTTTTGTCTCCTTTTCGGCTGTTTCGTTATCATGGGGCATATATTCAGGTTGGGGTCCAAATTGTTGAGGTATGTTTGGTTTATTTTGTTATAAGAGTTATTTTGAAGATTTACAATTGATTTTGAAGGGTTTTGTTTTATTTTAAAATATAACTGATTTTGCAGTGAATAGTAAATATTGATTAAAAAAAAAGTAGAGATTTGGAGAACTAGCGGTGAGAATATAATAGATTAATTTACAAGGATTTATGGTCTAACTTATACTGACCAGTCAGCTAGATTTTTTAAATAAAAAATTATTAGACTTTTTTATAAGATTATTTAATTAAAAAGGTTATGTCACATATCATAAAAAAAAACATTTTAAATTTATTAGACCAGTTTTTTTAAAATAAATATAAATAATTTTATTCTAATTATTATATTATATTTTGTATGTTGAATTTTCTAAAAAAAAATATTACAAAACTTATGATATTAGATAAGTTTGAATAAATCAATGCAAATAAATATTTAGTCTCATTGATTTTATAATTTGTTGGACTATTTAAACATCATTTGAATTTCATTTTTAAAATGTTCAAATAAAATAATAAGTTTTAAAGTAGGCTAATAAGTCAATCAAACCTTTAAAAAATCAAGTTTGGCTTAAATTTGAGCCTATAATAGGCTACATGTCAGACTTAAGCTTTAATGTTTTTGGCAAGTAAGACTCAGCCTTAGCAAAATCTAGTTCGGCCCAGTCTGTTCCCACTTCTAATGAGAACTCACATACCAATCACCTTTAATTTTTGGATGAGTATGTGGTGTGTCTCTCACAAGGTGTGTTACTCATAGAAAAAACTCCAAAAAATGTTAAAATGTTCCCTCAAGTAGACCCTTCAGAATTAAATGTCCCAACAAAATGCCTGTGCGTCTGCATAGATAAAAAGAATTGTATACTGTTTGTTTATACTAAAATGCCATAAGATATGAATACAAGATATAAATATAAGAAATGCATATTTAGAATAAGAAATGTAAATGTTATTAATACATTAAAAAAAAACATAAAGACAATGTTTTAAGAACTTATAAAAAATTATCAAAAAAGTTTTGTGTTAGAATAAGATTTGTTCATGACATATATTCTTTGAATTTTGATGATAACAAATTATTGAAAGAACAATAGTGTTATCTAATATATGTTCTAAGTGTGCATGTTCTAAAGTTTAAAGAAGAATATATTCAGAATCTAATATAAGAACGCACTTGAGAGAAGTTAAGTTATTGGCTTTTGGTGGCTAAGAATCTGAAGAACGTTATTTAAGTAAAGACTAATAATATAGGTTTGCGTTGAAAAAACCCTACAGTATCAGAAGAGTAATATATTGTCTCTAAGCTTATTGAATGTATCAGCTTCTGGTGATCATTCAGAACCAACAATAAAGTTGTAAGTTTATATGCGGTCTCTAAGAAGAATGTGAATTAGATTTATTGGACTTTCTCAATTTGAAGTGTTAGCACTGGTTTTGTTATTTTTCAGAAATGATATGAAAATAAATATGCTGAAAAATAAATGCGGAAAGTAAAGGACACGAAGATATATTCTAGTTCCCCTCACAATCCGAGAGTACTTCAGTCCCCTCACTCTCCGTGAGAGGTTTTCACTATGTCAGGTCTTTTTACAAGTCTTCCACCAAGATCCATCCTACAATATTCTAACATAAGCAACACAATCAATAAGGACAATCCCCTTATGATCTTTACAAAGTGCAATAAGAGAACAATCATCCCTTGTCCACTCTCTTGCTTTCAACAATCCTGGACAACAAGGAAATCACAACAATTTGAATTTTTACAAGTGTTTGAAGTTATATAACAATGTATATTAATTCTTAAAATTGATCTTCTCTATCAAGTAGGCAATTCTTAATATGTAGTACAAGTGCTTACTAATTTATGTAGTTGAAACTATTTGAAAATGTAATGAAATTAATGTGTAGAAGTTTCAACAAAAAGTAATGTCAAGAACACTTGATTTTAAAAATGAGAGAATATACGTTTTGAATTGCTATGAAAGAGAGATGAGTTTGAATTCTGAAAAGTATGGTTAATATAGAGCTTTAACACCTCTCTAAAAGTGTACAAATACATGAAAAGATGTCATGGTTCATATATGCATTCAAAAATTTGTTTGGATCAGAATTTTTATGAAAAAGTGTCACTGGTTCAGTGGTAATCGATTGACCTAAAGATATTTGTACTGCAAAAAGCAAGCTACATTGTCAAATTTGTTGTCAGTTAGAGTCTGTGTTCACAAGGCTCAAGAAGAGTTGACATGCTTTACGAATATATATTCTCAACGGATCTATAGTACAAGATCACAAGAAAGACTCAATGGTTAAACAAGTTACATAATGGATCAAGATATTTTGGTGTATCTATCTTCAACGTCTCTTGTATTATAAAGTAACAAAGACACTTGTACAAGTTATCTCTTCCAACGACTATTCCTTTGAAACTGCTATATAAGTATTTGAAGATTCAAGATGGATATTCAACAAGGAATAAAAAGAATAAAGAAGAATAGCCAAAAAGGATAGAAGTGTTCCTCACTTCTATCAGAATGGAAGAATAATAAGATCAACAATAGCAACACAATCGAGTATGCATAATTTCTGTTATATGTTATAAATTACACAAAGCCTTAAGTTTTCTTAATTATTGAATATCTTAGAAATCTTAAGTATTGTGATCTTTGTTATGGTTATTTCTCTGTACCTATGATTATCTATCGAGTACACCTTGTTCTTTATTTTGTTAAACATGTTATTTTGCAGTTTAGATAAAGTCTCTTGCTATGTGCTTGAGCATCAAAGTCTCTTGCTGTTAAGCTTGAGCCAAGTAAGTCACCTTCTATGTGTTAAAGCATTGAAGTATTAATCAGCTGTTGATTAAGAAAGAAAGTCTTGGACCATGGGTCTAAACATAAGTTTTGAGCCTGGAGGGCTTGAGCAAAAAAGTCTTGAGTACGTGAGATTTAAGCAGAAAGTCTTGGACTGCAGGTCTAAGTAGAAGTATTGGATTCGTTGAATCTGAGCAGGGAAGTCTTGGACCAAGGGTCTGAGCAGAAGTCTTAAACCTGAAGGGTCTAAGCAAAGAAGTCTCAGGATGAGGGTCTGAGCAAGAAAATTCTTATGCTTAAGTGCATAAGCAATTGTAATCATGTTTTGATTATAGTGAAAATCACTTGTGGTGCAAGATGACTGAACTACTCTTTATTTGGGTGGAACCAATATAAATCTCTGTGGGTTTTGTTGTTATTTATTTGCTTCTGTTATTATTCTGTTGAAATTAATTATCAGAATCTGAATAGTGGTTTAGAATCTGAACTTTGTTCAGAAGCAAAGTAAAGAAAACGGATAGCACAATTCAACCCCCATTCTTGTGTATTTTTCTCATCTTTAGTTAGTATCAGATCATGGTCTGTGCATAACACTTAACAGTGATGCAGACAAAGATCCAATGAAAAAATATGTTTGTTAACGACTTTCCTTCAAGAATGAATAAAATATTATATGTACCAGACTTCAAAAGTTTTATTTCAAAACTTCATATGATCTTAAGAATGAATAAAATATTATAAATTTTCCAGAAATATTTCAAAAGCTTCTTAAGATTGGGATTTTTAGATTTACAAAGAATGTATTGTACATGTGAGAAGTTAGTGAAAATCTTTATTATATAAAACTTTGCATTGGGTGTATAGGTTGGAGTTTAATTCTCTTATATCATGAATCCGTAGTCCCTATAAGGTTCTTGTCAAATATTATTTTTCTATTTATCAACGTGTATGAGTTATGATATTTGATGTTTCTGTTTATTTGGTACCTTTCTTTTATTCTTCACTAGAAATAACTCCTTGGACACATCAATGCCTAAACTTTTTTCTAAGGATGCAAATAAAATACATCCACATCAAGAACCTGATCAAGTAATTCTCTATATTTACTTGGTAGTACCACAAATCAAAGGGCACTCCATGTGGAAACTCCTCACTTGTCAACTCATAGTCAACACACATTCTCCATTTTCCATTAGGTTTTTTAAGTAGTACAATGTTAGACAGCCAGATTGTGTACTGGGTTTCAGAAATAAAATTAGCTTCTAGGAGGTCTTTTATAGCTTTTTCAGCAGCCCCCGCTTTCTAGAGAGACTGCCTACGCCTAGTTGAACTACGACCCTAGCGGCATGATCTATGGTCAGCTGATGGCAGGAAATGTTGGGGTCCATCTCGTGCATTTCTGCAGCGCTCCATGCGGACAAGTCAGTGTTTTCATTTAAGAAGACCTTCAGATGCTTCTTTGCTAAGTCGGGGAGTCCCGTTTCGATCTCCACGCCTTTATCTGGGTCATTGTCGAAGAGAATGAGATTGAACTAGCCATCTGGAATGAGGCACATAAAATGAAGAGGTTCCCCGTTGTTACCAAATGTTGAAGAAGTGTTTGATGCTGCTTCGTTCTGCTTCTGCTTGATGGTGAAGTGACTGTCGAGGTCGAATGAGTTGACACAAGGAAACAACTTCTGCTCCTCATATCGAGTCGGCTTGTTGGTAGTCTTGTGTGTTATATTGATCAACTTTTTCCCCTTTGTGTCTGCTTCGAAGCATCTTCTCGCGACTTCAATGTCCCCGCGAAGGGTGACGATGCAACCCTTGATCGTATAGTACTCCATATTCAAATAGACCATGGATGGAATGGCGGTTAACTCGGTCAGAGTTGGTCTTCCTATGATGCACTAGTACAAAGATGTACGCTCTA